GTAAAAATTGACCTTAAGTATTAATCTGAGCCAAGGCTTTGTTGATGCCATGGGATTCAAGGTTGCATCTACATGTATTCTTGCAGGCATGGGTAAAAATACATATATATACTAGTACGTGAGAATTTGTAAAGAAACAGCACTGTGCCAACAGAAGTGAATAAAAAAAGAGAACAAGTATACATGTATCAGTGGTAAAGATTCCAAACATGGTATGGATTTATATGAATGAATTGTACACTCTCTGTTGTAACAATGAAACAAAAACCAAACAATACAAAATAAAAATAATAGGAATACTGGCTTTCAGACCTACATGTACATGCAAAGGCGTACAATCCATACGAGTAAAGAGGAACATAGATAAGGTGCCAGTCCTGTGTTCAAATGCGGAGGTCATTACTATACACGAGCCAGGAAACTGTTGAAATTTCCAGCAATAAATGATGTTCAACAGTATAACCAGATAAATATAACGAGGGTCATCTGTTTCAAAATATGTATGGCCTGAGAGTGCATGCCCACTTCCTCCCTTTTTGTGCACAGCAAAACCCATGGTAAACACTCATATCAAGTTTACTACTAGTGCATGCATGTACATATTCTACTTCATTACCATTATTATGAACAGTTAATTGCATCGTATAACCGTGGACATGTACATTTATGGAAGGGTTTCCATCCTGTTTCTACATGTAATAAAGTCACATCTTCATGACAACCTTAATACTGACTGCATATGATATAGCTCACGGTTATGCATGTCAGATTCCATTTTCGTGTACATGTATACATGTAAAAAAAGTACAGGAATTGTAGGAGATTATATTGCGAACGAATATTACACAGTTGGAATTGGAATGAAAATAAAGTTAACGGCAATCAAATTTTGTTTACAATTTTTAATCTGGCTGACAGTGCACAGCATCTACTTCAAAATATTTATCCCCCAAAACTTGGACACATAAACCTTTTCCTGTTTTTGCACAAGGGAGGAGGACCAGAATATGACTAATCTGAATAATCGGCTGGGGGGAATGGGTGTCTTATACCAAGACTAGGATGAAAAATTAATGGAAGAGAACAGTTCTCAGAAAAACACCCAGTACCTTGGGCACACTTAATCCCCTTTTTCCTGTTTGTGTGGAAGGGAGGGGGCAGCACTCTGACAAAATATACTGGCAGATGGCACCCAACTTTGGGGTGAACAGTCCCCAGAGTGAAGAATTCTCCGAAGGAATAAATAAAACACCCAGTACCCACAGGATTCACCTTGTTAATTACGCCCACTACAATGACTAACCCAATCAACTCTATCCTGGCTGTTATAGTGCCCCTATACCCTACGGGCATTGAAATATGCCATTCCGTGTCTATCGCAGCCTTTTGGAGACAGGGCAAAGAGAGGCGAGCATATATGCAGGATTAGTGGCCGCTGTCTCATGACAAATCCTGGTGACGTGCATGCTTATTGACAGTACCAGCAAATTTGAACCCAAGCTTGAAAAGAAACGGGTAGGAATGCAAAAAATAGCGTGGAGTAAGAGGAACCTGGGCCCTGTAGGATGAGCTGACTGTAAACTACCTTTGACGTAGGAATTTTGATTAAATACGTGGAAAAGCATCTTTTGCACCGAGTCCGTTCTATTGGGCAGCCATGGTTAGGAGAAATCAAATTACAAAAATGTACATAAACAAGTAAGAGTATAAATTTATCAATGATGACAAGTACCGCCACCTTTACATGCTGTAATTTGACAGTGCCATTTCCTAGTTTTCTCATAGACAAATAGACTCTGTTTACAGTTGTCATAACACTGATAGGATACGGGCAGTATAAATAATACAGTTTTCCTAGATACACCACTAAATTCTCTACCATGCAGTACCTAAGTTGGTTTGTCAAAAAATCAAGGCTTTCCTGGAAGAGCCTGAGAGAAGCGTAAGAAGAACCCATTTAAGTGGGCAAGCCCTGTCGCCAACAATGGCAATAAGCGGATTAAAAGGTCGACAGCATAAATCCTTTTCATTGTGCTGAAGGGGTGGAGGTTCCTTTTGTTCAACTATCAAAAGTATCCAGGAGGATTTCAGGGCATCCAAGTGCTGATGCATTGCTGCCCAAGAAACTGCATTCAGCAGATCAGAGTAAGACTTCAAAGAGGCCTGGAGCTCTTTCATCGACACACATGAGTAATTCCGCTACAATAACCGAATACATCTCTTGACAAACTACAGTACAAAAAACTACAAATGTCAGCGGCCATTTTCGGGGAAATTACAAATGTGGATGAAGTGGTGAGAATAGCAAAAGTGTACTTTTTTGTTTTCTTTTCCTTTGTTAATACCTATGATGCTCAGTTTTTACTAAGTACAGGTATAACACTCCATGCTGTGCACTGCTCATGTCACGTCTGTGGCACATGCACAAACCGGTACCATACCAGGATATAAATAATGCAGTCAGCTTTTCATGTTTAGGCCTACAGTACAGTGTACACTGCTATAGGTTAAATAAAATCTTTAACTTCAGAATGGTTGGTTTTCGCAAGCGAAGTTTTGGACTAAATCTTGATAAATCATCATGCATCTGGAAGTACCGGTAACAGAAAAGCCTAACCATATCAAATACACTGGCCATCTTGTAACTGAACAAAAGGTGCTGCAAAACTGCACAGTAATCACTGTGCAGAGTTGTGCCTTTATTTCTCCTCCTCTACTCTAAGTACAGAAGACCTAATATTTATCCAACTTAAAGTCACACAAATATTTTTCACAGTATACCAGTACATTTATGCACTGCATGTACGTGGATGGACCACTTTTAAGTAAGCACTAGCTCCCACTTCACTGAGTTCCAAATGGGTATTCAAGGGGACGTACATGTACATGGTTACAGTACCACCATTCATTTGCAGTGTTTGTGCTTCCTGGTTCAAGTGATGTCAGTCTAGAAAGGGGAAGGCAAGCGCAAAGGGAAGTGCAAGCATTTGTTATCTCATTTAAGCATTTGAGACTGACAACGTTTCCATAAGAAGGATTCCAAAATTCAATCATAGTGCAAAGAACATGGACAAGATATTTGGATATTTGTTATTATCATGAGAAAGAAGGAACTTTATACGGCAAAAGTTGGGATCCATGAATGATTCACTAAGCACAGGATTTGAATGCGTCCGAATTTTAAACAATGAAATACAGAAATTGAACCACCAAGAATTTACATTAAGTTCTTTGTGATTGAGAATGGGAAGCTTACATACACGTACCCTCCACCTAAGACACGCAGCACCACTGTGATGAAAGAATTGATCTCAAACAGAATATGCTAAGATGCAAACTAAGTACCCTGTGTACATGTACATCCACGGGATGTGGGCGTAATGCAGGGTGAAGTCTTGATATCTCCTCAAATGTTAAAATGGGATAATAGCTGCCTTTGTTTGTTAAGTCGTCATACACTAAAAAGCAAAGTGCAGAGTGCAGCACACCTGCTTGAACAATACTGAACCCCTTGGCCTGTTGTTTCCCCTCTAGACGGGGACACCCAACACCCAATGTACCCATTCGGAAAGTGTGTGGGTGGGCACACACAACTCCCTATCTGATCAAATGTTCGGGCTGGTTTGCAAATGTCCAATTCCTGTTTCACTTCTACTCCCTGTCATCGAAAGTCACCCAATACCCAGTGTCGCCCATTTCTGTAAGCGCTAGTGTGTGGGCGGCCTCTTGTGAGGGACCTTCCTCGTTGCTGGGTTTGCCCGGTTAAGGGGTGCGACTGGGTTCCAGTTCGGAGTTCGAGACTCTTCAGTCTCGGTAACAAGGCTCCTTACCCAACCAATGGCTGAAGAGGTGTAATTAATGAACTATGAGTGTGAGGTTTCAGTCCATGAGTGCAACCCACTTCTTACTGTACATGTCTTGCACTAAAGCGGGTTAGTAGGTACATGAAACTCCACTTCCTGGTTCAAAGACAATTCATATTTGATCTGCAAATTATCCAAGTATAGAACACCAAGAACTAGTCAGAGATCCTTATTTTGCCCACGCACATTTTTGGCCCATATGAACAACATAGAATACATTGTTAACCCTGCACTCAATTTGTTATTTTATATATTTTTTTTATTTTGATATATTCACACAAGCACTGTTCAGCACTAGTACAACCAAATACATGTACATGTAGTAGCAAGCAGTAGACGAGCATTCTGTCTTTTGATATCAATTCGTAATTAAAAGGACTTTTAAATTATGAAGTGCAGTAGGTACACAGTATTAACTGGGGTTGTGACAATGCAGATTTAAGCTTGATGAACTGACTGGCTGAATCACATTTTGTAAGTGTTGGAATGAAAATGTTTTTGCCAAAGCCCTGGCATGGTAATGGCATGCCATCGAGTATTCATTGGTATCTCCATGGTCAGCTGCTCATCCATGCATGACCATTGTTGCTCTGCCTGTACACACTGAGTGCATGTGCTGTACATGTACTCTGTGTATAGTGTAATCTTGAACTTGTACGATGTACATGCTTGCTTGTTGTACATGTATGCCATGATAAAATATGCAGTGGTGAAGCATATGTTGTCATCCATGCATAAAGTCAGGATACAAGCTACTGTACAGATATCCATGGGCTACTCAACCTACAGTCCCATTCAACAACTGAGGGCAGCAGATACAGTCTACATGACCTGCACAAAATGATCGTGTACATGTATTGCATACATCATTAAAATGTACATGTATTGCATGTATGCTCCTTGAAAAATTGGGAAATGAACCAAGTGGGCAGGTGAGGGCGGTATACCACCTCTGTGGCTGTGTTCAATTAACAGAACTCAGACAGGTTTACACACCCTTCAAACACATGGTTAATCCAAAAATTTGCACCTACTCTGAGAGTTCTTGGAGGTGTTTCAAAAGTGTGAAAAACTTCTGTAATTTACTAATACCTGACTAATTCCAGGTCTCTGTTTTTTCTTCATTTCTCAATGCAGATTCACAGCAAAGATAGTCTAAGCACTGCTGAAAAAAGATACCAGTACGTAAGTCTACATACAAATTGGGTCTTAAGCTTAGAAGCCCTAAGTTGTTCAAATAAGTATATTCATTAACCAACTGTAACTTTTAATTCCCTAAAGCCCAATAAATTTCTAATCTTCTGGCATTTGGTAATATGATTCTGCTGTCTAGCGATAATTCTAAGACGGCCTGGATTCTTAAGATAAGTAAATGTAAACTATAGACGCAAATTAAACCTTATAACTGTTGTAATTTCATGGAATGAAATTATATTTTTTTATGTAAAAATTGTACATTCTGCTTATGTTCTAGAACATGTTTGAACATACAGTATATTTTACTTTTTGAAACCAATTTGTAATTTATTCCCCTAAAATTACAAAATACTGTACATGTAGATTGTTTCCTGATTTTACAGCTTTCAAAGCTATTCATAGTAAACTTTTTGGGTACAGATACTTAAGGGTGGGTCCGGTACAATATTCAAAGGGGGGGGGCACCAGTTGTTAGACTATCAGGCATCAGCCATTCGTAGCCACTCCCTCCCCCGCTTCCGCCACCAGTGTCCAAAACCAATATTTTGGGATTCAAGCTAGCTGTAGCCCTGTTTCACACTTTGCCTTTAAACGATTAAGAATTCTGGCAGGTAGGTAGGCTCAATTTCACAAACACGTTTAGTGCAAATTTTCATCTCTATTTGTCAGAATAAATATCTCAGATCACACTTACAATTTAATAAACACTACACAAACAAACATTTCGGCCTATGACATCTTGTGTCCTAGTACCAACGAGAACAGAGTGAGTTCCTTCTACATATGTCTTGTTCTAGTTTCTTGAAGACTGTACCTTTCTGCTCGGTCATAAAGTGTGACCCCCTTCCCCCTCCAGCCCTCCCAGGCCAGGTGTCACGCTTTTAAAAAAAATCCAAAATAAAACCAAATTTTGCAGAATTTGTTGCCTTACCTGGGAGTGTGATACCACGAGTTTGGGATTAAGTTCGAAGAAAAAGTTCTACAGACTCGGAGTACATAGATGCATGTACCGGTAGGCTGGGCCAAGGGCCTACATTACAAGTGACAGCTTGGTCATAAACTATGTCCCATTTTCCTCTTAATTCCCTGAAGTGTCTCGCTGTAAAAGAGGAATCTAAAATGAAACCAAACTGTAGTCATACGAGAGTGTGACACCAAAGTGAAACACGTAGGCCCTATTCCATAATTCCAAGTAAGGACTGAGCATGCTAAACCTATTGCCAATGCCGTGATCGCAGAAGCACTCATGACTTAGTTTTCATCCTTTATTCCTTCCCCAAAACTTTTGTTTTACAATCTGTAGTGGCTAATCCTCAGTTGCAAAAGTTATTTTTACAGAATTTCATCATCATAACCAAAATCTTGTATTACTTACATCATTTCCAAGAAGTGTTCTCCGATTACTCCGAAGTTAGTCGACTCGGTTTCATCAACTTTTTGACACTGCATGTACACGTGCAGAGCCAAAATTCAATAGGCGCCCCAGACATGCCGGAGGCTTTTATCGTCTGCTCGCTGTATCACACTGACAGAAAGTTGCTTGCTGCCCTCTTGTGTTTAAATGTGACAAAACTTTCTACATA